TGCAAAGATGTGTTGTGTTCTTTGATACTGCATTCGTTTAACTCTGTAAAGCTGTGTTATTTTGCCTGTTGAAGACACCTGCTTGGTCAAAGAAAAAGCCAATAGCTGAATAGCCAATAGCTAGGCAGGAGAGAGAAAAAGGTGGGACTGGCAAGCAAAGAGAATAAATAGAAGAATGAAGAGGATGGGGCAAGAAAAAGAGGAGAGAGCACTCCAGGAGCCAGCCACCCAACCACACAGCCAGCTACGTGCGGAGTAAGAAGAAAATAAGGGTACATAGAATACAGAAAGGAAAAGGCCCAGAGGCAAAAGATAGACTGGATAATTTAAGTTAAGAAAAGCTGGCTTGAAACAAGCTAAGTAAACTAAGGCCAGGCATTCATAAGGAAGAATAAGTCCCCATATGTTTATTGGGGAGCTGGGTTGTGGGTGCCCAAAGAGCAAAGAGTAAAAAGGCCAAACTACACAGAGGCAGTGGATGACTCCGAGGAAACAGTGTCTTTGAGACCCAACGTGACTGCTGCATATACGAACTCACAAGGGACTGTGACAGCATATGTAAGACCCACACAAGTTAATGCCAGTCAAATCCCAGCACAGAGAAGGGAATGTGGGAAGAAGTCCCACCTCTAACCAAGAAACTGTTGGCAATGATACCTGCTGGCAAAGGAAAATTGGTTTTCTCCAATGGCGTGACACATATCTCAACCATATTCCAGAGTAGGCCCCATGCTCAGGAGTAACTGGCTAACAAAATGGACTTCATGTTTTGGTTTGGTTTGGGTTGGGTTTTGTTTCATATTCTTTGTCTTTTTAGGTTTTTGTTAGTTTGATTGATTGATTATTTGGTTTTGTTTGTTTTGAGAGAGAGAGAGAGAGAGAGAGAGAGAGAGAGAGAGAGAGAGAGAGAATGAAGTTGGTGGGTAGGGAGGTCGGAAAGACCTGGGAGGAGCTGGGGCAGTGGAAAGGATATGATCAAAGCCTATTGTATGAAAAAATATGTTTACAGCCAATAAATACCAAACAAGAACTCTCAAAGGTTTAACAACTTGACTTTCAGTCACAGAGCATGTCTGTGCATACCATATCAGGGCAGGGAGAGCAATAACTTTGTGACTCTAGAACATAAACCAATGATAGCAACTTCAAATGAACACATTTTGAAACAAGATTTTGCTGTACTGAAGACCGAACCTACAGTCTCACACATACCAGATACTGTAGCATGTAATAATCTGCACACCTAGTCCTTCGGTTTTTTTAAAGTAGGGTCTCATTATGCTGCCCAAGCTGGCCTTGAGCTCCTGTGTATTCCAGGCAGGCTTTGAACTTGTGATTCTCCCCTCTCAGCTTCTCAAATTGTAATCCTACACGCGAAGGCACGGATAACAATTCACGGGATTAGGCTCAAATATAGGTTAAATATAATTTTTTACGGGGAGAGGTCACTTACACAAGAAGCACATGGCCG